GTTCAATGTTTTCTTTGCTGCCCTTCCTTGCATTCCTTCTAAGTCTCAAACATGGGAATGCTCCACCCACACCCACACCGCCCCCCCAAATTGTTTCTCATGTTCTTTTGTGTTAAACACTTAATCTCAGGACCCCCATTTTTCTCTCACATGATTGATAGATTGATGCATTTGTCAGAATGTTAAGGCACTATTATGATTGGGGTGGAGTAGGGGTGGGGGGAAAGAGGACACAGTTGTGGAATTACTAACTTTCACATTACATAGAATCATTACGAAATTATTTCCAGAGAATCAAATTTTATTCTCTGGAACCCCCAACTAAAAAAGGAGCCATACATTTTGTCTATTTTTCTTGAATCCTTTTTAAAAAATGTCTTCTAACTAGAGATGATAGATAGATAGATATAGATATGGATATAGATATAGATATGCACAAGGCAACGTATTGTAAGTGACTGAACATCATTAGGAATACCACTTATGATGCTGGGCTTTCCCTTGGTGGTGCGCCTGGACCTCGGAGGCCCGTGGAATGGTTATCCTTTACTCTAAGTGACCCCTCCCAGTGCCTCTGACTGTGTGCCTGTCTGTTTTTTAATAGATTTCCCGCCTTTTCCCTGCAGTCAAGCTGTCATTTCACATTTATTGCTGCTGTAGATGTAACTTCTCTGAAAACATTCCGATCCTTCTAACTCGTTGTGTTGTGTACTGAGAAACCAGAGAACCTGTTTGTTTTAAGTTTCTTTTAAAGTCTGAGACGCCACAAAAAGGTGAGAGGTATCTGTCCAAGAAAACTCATGTGCTTTACTAAATGAACTTTATGTTACTTCATCTTCCCTCACCCTTCCGCTTTTTGACTAGTGGCTCTCCATTGTAGTTGAGATAGCAAGACGGGCGACGATTCTAAGAGCAGTGAGACTGCTAGTCCCGTGTTTAACTCTCACATTACTGCCAAGGACCCAGGGAGCAAACAGCATGAGGACAGTGGCTTGATTTGGGTACTATTGGTGTATGTTAATTTTCTTATTTCTGTTTCTTTTCTTTTCTACTCGGTACGTTGTTGAGTTAAAATAAGAGACTTGCCCAACATTTTTAGAAGGATCATTTTCAAGAAAGACCAGGCTTGGTTTGGTTTTAATTTAGCAAGCATCCTTTGACTTGGGTTTTTAAACGGCGTTAAGACGTTGAGCTCCATAATTCATTGAGGTCAGAATCAAGCGTTAGACAGGGACCCCAGAAGAGATGCCCTCCTGGTCCCCGTCTTGTATGTTTAGAAGCCTCTGCAGGACTTCTTCCCTCAAACTGTTACAGCCCACAAACGATCCTCGATTTTGGCCATGCGCCTTTTGCAGGATGTGTTTGGAAAGGGCATTGTCCACCCTGGAGGCAGAGCTTCGTGCCCTCCGTTCACGCCTCCCGTGGCTCTTTCCACAGATGGCGTGATCAACCTGAGCATCCCCATCGTCCTGCCGGTGACCACGGAGGACAAGCAGCGCCTGGAGGGGAGCAGCAAGCTGGTGCTGGTGCACGGCGGGCGGCAGGTGGCCATCTTGCGAGACCCCGAATTCTACGAGCACAGGAAAGAGGAACGCTGCTCCCGGGTGTGGGGGACGACGTGTGTGAAACACCCCCATATCAAAGTAAGTTGCAAACCCTTTGGAAGACTTTTCTTGATCCATTTCAGCTCAGGACAACAATGGCTATTTTTTACTTCCTCATTAAGGAGTTAGATTAACTGGGATTGGATGAAAGGTGGGGGGGAGGGGGCACTTCTAGAGAGAGGTTTCATAGGTCTTCCTTTGGGGAATCTGTTTGAAGAGTAGCAAAGCCATGCCTCTGCTTGAGGACTGGCCCAAAGGATCTCGAGTTCTCTGGTTTTGTAATGGTTGATCCTTTCTCTGCATGGCGACCACTGGGCCAGGGAAATCATTTAGCCTCAAAGTCTCCTAACGGGGTCCATCTCATACAATTGCCTTGCAGAAAAGGTAGCTTTTCACAGAAACAAAGCCAGAGCTTACAACCTTGTATATCTTGAAAATGATGCACAAGGAAATTCCTTTTCTTCACGCAGCCTGGGCCCAACCCCCAGAGAGAGAACTCAGAGTCTCAGGTAATTCGGGGTCCGTGAGATCCTTTCTGGAAAGATAAATCAGCACAGATAGTGGCAGAGTTGCGAGAGGGAATGAACCAGATCTTAGATGAATCTTCTAAAGTGTCACACAATTTCAGTGATTATTTTTCAGATTAAAAAAAAAATCATCCGATTAGGTACATCTGAAGTCGGTCTCAAGGCAAAAGGCAGATTAAAACTCCTGTGAGTCCGTTGTAATTTCTAATTGTGTGCCTGGAGAGGGGATGATGAAGTTTCTGGGTATGACGTGTTTCCCAACAGGGAAAATATAGGGCGCTGGATGCAAAAATGAGACCACATTCGAGATTCAAGAGGCAAGAATCATGTCACCGAGGCCTCACATAGGCTCCGGGAGCATGAGGCAGGAAATAAAGAAAACGTATATGACTAATTTGACTTGTGAATTCCTTGCTGGAGTCACAATCAGAACTTCTAGACTAGAGAGCAGTTAGGAGCCCAGGAGGCTCAAGAGCCTGTGATTCAGTGAGACATTCCCCAGGCCTCCGTTGCTTCATTTATTAAAGGAGGTTGTTGTTAGCTGTCTTCGGCCAGGTTACTCTGATTCACAGTAATCCCATATCTGTTGTTCTTGTTACGTGCACTTGAGGTGATTCATCAATTTGATCTGGAGAAGTCCACCTTGTAAGTAAGTATTGGCAATTGGAAGGTGTGTTAGTTCATGTAGACTAGAGAAACAAATTCATGGACACTCATATGTATAAGAAAGAGCTTTATATACAAGAGCAATTGAATATTGAGAAAACATCCGAGCCCAGTCCAGATCAAGTCCATAAGTCTGATATTAGCCCATATGTCCAATACCAATATATAAATTCCTCCTCAGACTCACAAAACACATGCAATGACGCCAAATGCAGGAAGATCTCAGGCCAGTGGGTGGAAAGTCTTGTGGATTCAGTGGCAGTAGAAGCATCTTAGCACTGGCATGGGTTTCCACATGGCTTCTTCAGCTCCAGGGCTCTGGCTGCATCAGTGTAGCTCCATCAGGCTGGTCGTCAGTAATGTCTCGCAGGGAGTGAGCATGCGTCCCGCCTCCAGCAAGCTATTTATCTCCTTAGTGTCTCCAAATGAGGTCATTACGCTGTGACCTGATTGACAGGCTAAATTCCACCCCTTCACTCTTAAGTCTCAAATTGACAACTGTGTTAGTCTGGGTAGACTAGAGAAACAAATTCATAGAGACTCATATGTGAATAAGAAAGAGGTTTGTATACAAGAGCATTTGAATATTGAGGAAACATCCCAGCCCAGTCAGATCAAGTCCATAAGTCCAATATTAGCTCATATGCCTGATACCAATATATAAAGTCCTCTTCAGACTCACAAAACACATGCAATGATGCCAAATGCAGAACAATTACAGGCCAGTGGGTAGAAAATCTTTGGATCCAGTGGTGTTGTAAGCATCTCAGCGCTGGCAGGGGTCTCTACGTGGCTTCTCCAGTTCCCAGGGCACGGGGTCTATCAGCATAGTGTCATGTGTCTTGTCAGTAGAGCGGCTCCAAGGGAGTGAGTCTTGTTAATAGGGTGTTTCCAAGAGAGTGCGCAGAGAGAGTGAAGTGTTTTCTGCCTCCAAGGAGGAAATACCAGAGTTCCCAGAGTTCTCAAGAAAAGACCATGCCCACACAGAGGTCTTGTTGGCTATGACCTGATTGACAGACTAGACTCCACCCCATTCACTCTTAATCCTCTTAAGTCCCAAGTTGACACCAGATTATCTAACTACCACCACAACAGAATATGTAAGTACCACTGCAAGCAAAGGTTTGAAAGAAAGAGGAAGGAACAGTAGTTGGAAAATATGGTCCTGGTGCTAGAAATGAAGCTGGAGATGCATGATAGATTTTTGCAAGACCCATGACTCCTTGATACCTTTGTTACAAAATACTTATGTTCAACAACACAAAGGGGGACTACACACGCGGCTTTCTCCAGGTGGAGTACACAGAAATCAAATTGCTTGTATCTGTGGGAAGAGATCATGGAGAAGCTCAATATCAGTAGCTAGAACAAGGTCCGGGGCTGACTGTGGACAGACCATCAATTTCTCATTCACTGAAGCTGGAGAAAATGAAAAGAAGACCACGAGAGGCAAACTATGACCTTGAGTCTATCCCACTTCAGTTTAAAGACCAGATTTGAGACACTGAACACTATTGACAGATGACCTGATGGCTGTGGGATGACATCGAGAACATCATATATGAAGAAAGTATAAGGTCATTTAAAAGACCTTCAAACTTTGTACACTACATGGATCAAGGGCGGTTGTGCAAACAGAACAAGGGACTACAGCATGGTTTAAAATGATGAAAGGTTGCATTCTCTTGCCTTAATTATTCAATCTGTATGTTGAGCAAATACTAGAAGAAGCTGAATTATGTAAAGAAGAATGAGGTATCAGGATTGGAGGAAGGCTTACTAACAACATGCAATATGTAGATAACACAACTTTACTTGCTGAAAGTGAGGAGGACCAGAAGCCCTTGCTGATGAAGATCAAGGATTGCAGTCTTCAGTGTGGATAACAGCTCAATGGAAAGAAAACAGAAATCCTCACACCGCTGCACAGTATGTGCGCCTTGAAGCACTGTTTACCACATATGCTCTTTGAAACTCTGCCTTCGATCATGGTTTTAGAGGGGAATCGTGGGAGCGTCTCTTTTAAAGGGAATACATTTGAATCTTCATATTGTGAATTACTGTCCAGTTATTAAAGAGAAAATGTTTTTTTTCTTTCAAAAATCCTCACACCTGGGCCAATAGGGAAGCTCGTGACAAGTGGAGAAGATTGAATCTGTCAGGGATTTTGCCTCGTTTGGACCCACCAACAATGCTCCTGGAAGCGGGGCTCAGGCAGGGGCACCCTTGGGAGGACAGTGAAGACTGGGGGGTGTTTCAGGCTGTTGTACAGAGGGTCCCAATGAGGCAGAACCGAAGTGCTGGCATCGAACAAGGGTTTTTGTTGACTTGTTTTCAGAAGCAGGTCAGCTGGCTTCTCTCCGCAACCCACGCTAGTCTGGAAGCTCCACAGAACCCTTTTCAGCGTCACAGCCATACACCAGCCTCCAGGGACAGACAGGCGGGTGGCTGTGTTTCAGGCGCACTGGAAGGGAGCCAAGAATCTGTCACCGAGGCCTCACATAAAAAGAAAGTGGCCACATTTAAAATGACATCAAATTCTCTTCTCAGCCTGTCACCCTGCGAGTTGGGTGAGGAGTAAACCTCATCAGAAACTTTTTGGCTTTTTTGGGGGGGGCGGGGGGTGCGGGGTTGTGAAGTGTTCCAACATAGCAAGGACCTTGTCAAGACACCTGCTGGTGACCTCTGAGCCCTCTCTATCTGAGCACAAGAAACCGATGGGCAAGCAAAGCTGTATTTCCCATTTATTGGATGCAGCTCTCCATCCACAGATAATCATCTTTAATCGTAGGGCACATCCAGATCAAAGCCCTCCCAGCCATTTTCTGCAAAGAGGCTGTCAGCATCTTTAAAATTGCTAGACTCAGATCTCTTGGAGGAATATCATGTTCAGGGGGGCGGGGGGTAATTATGCCTGTGTTTCATTCCTTTCCTGGTGATGATCATATCTGTTTGGGATCTTATCTTACCCAGTGCCTCAAAGACGACTGGCCTTTCACTATGTCAGCTCAGATCTCCCCAGGAGTGCAACCACATGGCCCACTCAAAAAAGATCCGGCCCCACACAAAAGGAGGAGGTGTTTAAGCCATTATTTCTTTTCATTTTGTCTCAAAAAGGGTTTTAGCAGTTGGAACTCAGAGCCTCTTGGACATCAGGGAGAGCGGGAGCATCGTTGGTGACCTTGACCGTGTACACTGTCAGTGACTGGCCCATTAGGTGATGGAGAGAAGCTAGGCTGTGGAGAATGCAGAAGGCCACTCACCCTGTAGGCAGCACACTTGGATTGTCAGGAGCCCATTGTCCAGATGCACAAAACACGGGTTTTATTGGGACACAGACTCTTTGCATGTACTTCAAAAAACAACATCAACAAAAAACCCCAACCTTGCAAACTTAAGGAAATTCTTTAAAGTGGGTGTTTTTAAGAAACACTCTGCCTTCTAAAATAAATCATAAACCACTTTGTGTGTCCTGGTGGCATTGGGAGTGACATTTATGAAAAGTCATGAGTCACAAGGCAACGATCAGCCTCTGTTACATAGCTCCTGGCTGAAGTCACCCTTGAATTTCCACTCCGGACATCCCCGTCCTCTCCCCAGAAACGAATTGGCGTGATGTGACCTGACCGCAGATGAAATCAGGAGGAGGAACAAACTTGCTAAAATAGTGCTTGGAGAAGCCTGGTTGCCTTTCATTCATGGCTCTCAAAGCTTCTCCAAATAATAATTATTCTCAAAGTAATCTTGTGAAGTAGCTGAGAATCATCATTGCCATTTTAGAGCTGTAGAAAACAAGACAACAGAGTACGTACGACTTTACAGCGAAGAACAAGAAGTGAGAGTTTT